TGTGTCCAAAACACTATGCTAGTTAAAAAACAACAAAAAAAGACACAATAGTTATATACTTTGTGATTACATTTATATGGCTTTCTGAGAGGCAAAACAAAACAAAACAAACATAGATCTGAAACTAGATTATTGATCACTTGGAGACCAAGAATTAGAGGAGATAGATGATCATTTAAAAATACAAGAATGTTTTTATTTTGCAATGATGGACATGTTCTATAGCCTAGTTATGATTTTAGTTAAACAACTATGTACATTTTGCAAAACTTATCATGTTATACTTTTTAAAAAGATAATTTTTATCACCTGTTAATATTTCAAAAAAATCTGACCAATAGAAAAAGAAGAAAAAAAAACACCTTTCTGGGCATGGTGGCATATGCCTGAAATCCCAGGTTCTAGGTGCCTGCAGCAGGAGGATGGCAAGTTTGAGATTATCCTGGGCAATTTAGTAACTTGGTGAGACCTTGTCTCAAAATTTTAAAAACATTTAAAAATTTTTTAAAAATGATTTTACAACACTGGGGTTGTAGCTCACTGCAAAAGCCCTGAGTTCAATCCCTAACAGGCAAACACGTCTCCTAAACCTCAGTTTGCTCACTTATAAAATTGTACATATTGTTTGTTTCTTAAAATGCCCCCTTTCCATTGGAATAAGATCCCAGCCATGATTCTCAAGCTATTGCTTATCATTTGCTATTTTATGTCATTGATAAGGAAAAATAAAACGCATTTATGACAAGGATCTAATAGTATGTTCCATACATGCTGGTAACTTGCACAACACTTAGGACAGCATAATAAAAGGGTAGGAAAGAGTCAATAATCTTTCAGAATGCAAGCAGACGCCAGACTGTAGACCACAGTGAGAACAATTTGCCTTTTGAATTCACGCCCTGCCCTCTTTCCTTACTTTGCAATGGAGTATTTGTTGACTGGGTTGAAAGAACAATTCCCAAAACTGTTTCTATTTATTTCTCACGGCCTAGGAGGTATCAGGGTTCTGACACACAGCAATGTGATTTGTAAACGCATTTTCATAGTTGACATAATTATACTCAGAGCAACTGAGTCTGTTTTGTGATTTTTTTTTCCTTTCTGTTTTGTCTGGAAGTGGGAATTTCTCCTGTCTGGCCGCAGAATTCAACTTGTGTTTGTGTGCTAATCCAGTTCTAACAGTAATTCCTATTATGTATTCTTACTGTCTAACATCTTCAGAAATAAATATTCCCCAAATGTGTCTCATCCTGTGGCCCAAATTTCTAGTTATTTATTTTAACTGGAGAAAGATTTCCCTAAACCTACCTATATCTGAATTTTTCATATCAAGTCTGAAAACTGTACTATTTTGATAACTATTTTGCTTGTTAATAGTAATAACACTAATAAGGATAATAATATAACAACCTTATCATAAATTGGCAACTGGGCTCAGAACCATACCAAATACAACCCTCATGTCACAGAGGTGTGATTCCAGTGTTTCAATGAGGAACTGAGGCACAGAGCATCCTAGTGGCTCTGTCTGGACTTATACCCACTAAAGGGAAGGTCTGAGCTAGAATTTGTATTCTTTCTCTGGTAGGGAAGGATATACTGTCCCCAGACATCAATATGGGCAAAATGTTTGGAAAAAGACAAAAAAAAATGAGTGTTAAAGATTATTTTGCAAAAGACTTCTCCTAATCTAGTCACTGACAAGCTTTAGACATGCTATTTAATTTTTTAAAAGCCCCATCTCTCAGAAACTGCTCTTTCTTAATTACTGCTGGTGGACAAACTTTGGTGGTGGATTAGTGATTGTGCATGCATGTGACTCTAACCTGTATCCAATCAGTAGCAGACATTATTAATCAATAATAGCCTCTTTTATCACAGAGCTGCTAGAAGACATTCCACTCCTTCTCAATATTCTGCTGAGGCAGTTTCCAGGGGCTGATTACCATTGATATAGTTGAAAGTCTTTTACCATCCCTGCCCTACCCGAGCATGGCTGACTTTTCTCTACAGGTAAAAGCCGCACCAGAGGTAAGAGATACATTGGAAGGGTGTTGTCTACTGATTAATCTATTTTGAAAAATTTTTTGAGAAATTATATTCACAGCTGTTCTCAGGGTCAATCAAACTACAGAGTGATAAGGAAACGTCTGCAGCAACCAGCTTCATAGACATCTGATTTTACATTTCCAAAATGAAAAGTAGGGCAATCATCCAACTGTTCCTGAAAATAAAATCTAAAGCAAAGTTCTCAACTCTGGCACTAGACCAGAGTCCACTGGGGAAGCCCTCAGACTATACTGGTTTCCAACCATCTTGCTAGACTAAGTCCATATTAAACAATACATCTAAAAAACTAAACAAGTCTCCCTCTAAATGTAAGTGCACACGTGTACAAAGATAATGTGTGAGAAGACACTGATTATAATAGTGCTTACAAATGCGGATTACAGAGAAATCCTAAATGCCTATGAAAATAATATATGAATTGTGCTTATATATACTATGGAAAACTCTACAGCTGTTTAAATTCATTGATTAAATTAATCCTATGCCAACATAAATACACACTTAAGACAGAGTTAACCTGTGCATGGTGGCACGTGCCTGCAATCCCAGCTCCTCAGAAGGATAAAGCAGGAGCATGACAAGTTTGAGGCCACCCTGGGCAACTTTGCAGATCATGTGTCAAAATAAAATACATAAAAGGCTGAAGATGGTGTAATCCGGTAGTAGAGCATGCATGAGGCCCTGGGTTCAGTTGCCAGGACCAAAGAGTACCAAATGTTTTTAAAAACAAATGACTGTTAAGTGAAAAATTAAACCAAAAAATTTAAATAAAGATGAAAGACAAGTGAAAAATGCTGCTCAAAAATCAGTACAGAATGATGCTATTTATATAAATCTTAACATAGATTGAATACTTATGTTTTTTATAGACACTTTTATGAAGAAAATAATCATAGATTTGATAGAAATATAAACACATTCTGGATAGTAGGCATCTGCAGGATAGAGGGAAGGCAGTGGGACGATGAGCTTCCATTCTTTCTGTAATATTTTATTTCTCTAAAAAGTTCTGAATCAAATATGGTTAAATATTAGGATTTTGCCAAAAGAATGATTCGGTTTCAGTGTTTTCACTCTCATCTGCATTTTTTATAAATGCCAAAATACCTCAACTCAAAAATTAGTTTTTCTGCTCTTAAGATCATCAAATGAGATGTATACGAAAAATCATTAGCATAGTGCTCTACACGTAGTCAATAATTGGTCATTAAATGGTAGACAGCTTTATTATGAACTCATCAATTATGCTTAAATCCACTCAGGGATTTCAATATAATGTATTTTAATAATCTACTTAAAGTAATTTAAAAGCCCAATAATAAACGATTGTGTAGAATATAGCACATTCATTCACATGAATGGACGTGGGAAAAATTATGCAATCATTGAAATGATGATTTTGAGGGTATTTAATATATAATGTTAGAGAAAAGAAACAACATGTAATAATATATCTATATGTGATATCTAATTATGAAGAAACTGGCATATAAAAGCAAAACACCTAGATGCATGATAAAGTTATGGGTTACCTTCTTTCCTCTTCTTGTAACATATGTTCTAATTTTTCATGATTTTAGAAATTAAGAAGTCAAATAGAATTAATATTTTTCTAGGTGACATCTCAAGAAAATAGGATCATTTCATTTATATGCTTAAAGAATTGGAAGTCTGAGAATGAAACAAATATATACACTAAGTTTCAAGAAAACTATGATGTGCTTTTGAACGTTAACTTTTGATACAATTAATATTACTAAGGCTCAAAAAATATGAGAGTTTAACATTCTGTTTCTCTTTTCAAAGGTTCCAAAGTACCCCTACCTGTTTGCTTCTGCCCTCTTTAAATTTAGGTCTCACATCACTGAGAAAACTGAAGCAATCATGGGGTTTTCTACAACTCTGCAGCACATCTAGCCACTCGCCAGGATTTCTGTATGTGGACTCTGTTTCTCACTATGTTGAACCAGCCCTTCTCCTAACTAAAGTCTCTTGACCTGTGCATCAGATTCCATTTTCTCTCCTCCATTATCACTTTAGCAATTCTGTTCTCTCTCTTAAGATTCCCCCCCACCCTATGCTGTTGGTTTTCCTTTTTCCTTGCTGAATACTCTGCTTGAGAGTCCCATGCTGGTTCTTCTTCTTCCCAACTTCTTCGTGTTGGACTCAAATCTTAGACTTCTTCTCTTCCTTCTCTTTGTTAATTCCCCCAGTGATCCACTCTGGTCTCAAGGCCGTGGACATGGTCTATATATTGATGACTCTCAGATTTATGTCTTTAGCACAGACATCTACCCCAGCCACCAGATTTGTGCATCCAGTTGCCCAGGCAACATTTCACTAGGATGCCTAAGGGAAATATCAGATCTTAAATATCCAGAACTAACCTCTTAGACTTTTCTCTAAAATTTTCTCTGATTGTAGAAAGAATCATTCTCGACTCTTCCTTTCCCTTTTTTTCATCCCCACCTTTACTGTGTCAGGAAGTCCATCAGTTCCATTTGAAAATACACTCAGGTTCTGGTCGCTTCTCACCATCTCACGCTATAATTCAATTTTGCTTTGATTACTATGAGCGTCCCCTAGATGGTGCCTCCCATGGCCCAACAATGACTCAGTTCATTCAATGTCAAATTCCTCGCCTCATTCTTCTTAGTCTGTTCGGGATGCCATAATAAGATAACACAGATTGGCTCATCTAACAGAAGTTTCTTTTCTCACAATCATAGAGGGTAATAGTCCAAGATCAAGGTACAATCATAGTTTCTACAGAGACCACTCTTCCTGGCCATTTCTTGGTATCCCACATGATCTCTTCTTTGTGCAGAAAAACAAGCAGATTTCTCTTTGGTGTTCCTTTTTGATAAGGACACTAATACTGTGTGGCTGTCATACACTTCTGACTTTAACCATAATTCCTTTAAGAATCCATCTCCAAAAGTGGTCACATTGATTATTATGGTTGTAGCCTAGGAATTTGGTGGTGGTGGGAGAATGAAGGAACATGTTTATTACACCCATGACCTTCTTTATTACTTTCCCCCTTCTTTACTCCAGCCTCAAAGATCTGGCTGTTCACTGAGTGTACCAGGAACTCTTCTGTCTTGCTTTGCTCTAGATTTTTCCCAACCTGGAGAAAACTTCACCTCAATGGACATTTAACTCACCCTGTTACTTCCTGTAAGTATTGATTTGTATGTGATTATTCAGTGCCTATTCACTAGTCACTCACTATTAATAGACATTGTTTTTTTATTTTAAAAAGATTAAGATAAAAGAGGACATTACAAAACAGATCAAAACAGAACAATTTAAGCAACATAGTGTTTCACCACGAGACAGCCCAACATAACATTAGCTACCATAGTGTCTCGTTCCTTGAAATATTTGACTATACTTTCATACACTATAGTATCAAACATAACAAGACAGTATAAAACTATTCAAGACAATGAAAGTATTACAGGGTATTCAAAACCAATTAAGAGAAAATGAACAATGGTTACTATGTTATCTCCTTGTCCATAAAAAATTTGTTTATATTATCACATATAGTAAAATCCAATAAGAAACAACATGATAAAACTGATGGAGACAGAAGAATAAAAGCTTGGTAGGAGTTCAAAACAAGACGATGTTAAATCAGCACTAGCTATTATAATGTCTTTTTTTTTTTTCAAAATAGCTTTTCATACCATCACAGATAATAAAATCAAACAACCCAGAATAAAACCATTCCAACTAATGAATGAAAACATTATAAGGCTTCAAAGCAATATAATGGGGAATCATGATGACCACATACTTTTAAGTATTCTTACCACTTCTTACCCTAGGGAGACTATATGGTATTTATAAATGTGAGTTTGATTTATGTCGCTTATGAGTATGGTCTCAAGTTGCACCCATTTATTTATAAATATATCAATGTGATCATTCTTTATAGCTGAGTAGTACTCCATTGTATAAAAATACCACAACTTTTTTATCCATTCCTCAGTTGATGGACACTTGGGTTGTTTCCAGGATCTGGCGATTACAAATTGTGCTGCTATAAACATGGGTGCACATATATCACTGTGGTATGATGTTTTCAGTTCTTCTGGGAATATGTCTAGAAGTGGAATAGCTGGAACAAATGGGACCTCCAATCCCAGCTTTCTGAGACATCCCCAGACTGACCTCCACAATGGGGTTGCACCAGTCTACACTCCTACCAACAGTGCAGGAGAGTTCCTTTTTCCCCACAGTCTCTCCAGCATTTGTTGTTGGTTTTCTTGATCCTGGCCATTCTTTCAGGAGTGAGATGGAATCTCAGTGTGGTTTTAATTTGCATTTCTCTAATGACCAATGATGATGAACATTTTTTCACGTATTTATTTGCCATTTGTATTTCTTCATCTGAGAACTGTGTATTCATCTCAGATGCGTATTTTTGGATTGGATCCTTGAATTGTGGAGGTCTGATTTTTTTTTAATTCTTTATATGTTTTTTAGACAGAAGTCCTTTGTCTGAGGAACAGTTTGCTAAGATTTTTTTTCCCAGTTTGTGAGTTTTCTTTTCACTATGCTGGAGATTTCTTTTGACATGCAGAAACTTGTTAATAAGAGCTGGTCCCAGTTATTGATTCTGGGGAGTATTTCCCATGCGGTTTGATTCCTGTTCATGAATTCTGTACCTACTCCTATGTCTTCAAGGTTTTTACCCAATTTGTCTTCCAATAGATTTAGTGTTTCTGTTTTAATATTCAGATCTTTGATCTATTTAGATTCTAATTTAGTACAGGGTGATAGGCATGGGTCCAGCTTTAGTTTTTGGCATATGGAGAGCCAGTTTTTCCAGCACCTTAATAGACATTGTTATATCCCATAATAATCTCTCCTTTCACTCCTTCCTACTTGCCCAAGTCTTCCTTACCTTCCTTTAATTTTTCTCCTTTCTAGCACTTATAAATTTTGACACCAATTTTCATGTTTACTATTTCCTATTCTAGAATATGATCTTCCAGATAAATGAGCCCTTTATTTTGATTAAGGATATATCATAGTGCCAAGAACAGAGCGTGACATATAGTAGATATTCAAATCAGCTATTCAATTAATGAATAAATTTGTAAGAGAATTACCTAAGCGATAGGTGACGCGGGTAAATCTATCTGACTTCAAAGCTCAAGTTTTCCATCAAGCTCATGGTGAGAAGTAAGCTTTTAAAAAATAATTGGAAGTTGCCAAAAGAGAATCAAGTTCAAGACCAGGCTGGGCAATTTAGGGACCTAGCAAGAACTTGTCTAAAAATTTTAAAATGAAATAAAATAAAATAGAAAGAATCAAGGATGCAGCCCAGTGCAAAGAACCTGGATTTAATACCCAGTACCATTAAAAAACAAATAATCAACACACAGTGGCACAGTTTACAGTAAGCCCTGAAACAGCCTAGATGCCAAGCAACAGCTGAATTGATTAAAAAAAAACCACGGTGTATGTGCACAATGGAATATTATAATATTAATCAGCCATAAACAAGAATGAAACCATGACATTTTCATGAAAATGAGAGCAGTTTGAGACCATCATGCTAAGCAAAATAACTCAGGTACCAAGTTAAGTACTGCTTGTTTTCTCTTACATTAGAAACAAAGTATAAATAAATGAACAGAATAAAGGAGAGACAATAGGAAGCTATAAAGTGGATTCTTGGAGATGCAAAAGAGAGCCAGATACGTGTGGGGGCAGTAAAGTAAGGAAAGTACAAACAATCAAGATCTACTGCAAGGGGTGATCAAAAAGTATGGTGAAAGCATGTGTTTTTAAAAACATTACAGTAAAAGATGCATTCCCATTCACAATCCTCAAAACATTCCCCCTCGGTTGGACATTTTTCTCATCATTCTTGCCACTTTCTGAAGCAATTCTAGAAACGCTCTTTAATAAGGTCTTCATTTGTGCTGCTGTGGTTTCCTTGATATCCTGAATCAATTCTAACTAAATCTTTACAGCAGTTTCTGTCAAATAAAGACTGTGGTGTGTCCCATCCACCTTATCCACTGGGTCATCCAGAAATGCTGGCTTTTCCCCAAAGTTAAAATGGCCATGAAAGACAAATGTTCTGAATTCATTCAGGACATTGTTGTAGCCAGACAGTGCAACTAAAAACACTCACGAAAGAAGACTTTTAGAACTGCTCCAGAAAGTAGCAAATGATGGGAAAAGTGTGTATGAAGCCAGGGGGCATATTTTGAGGAGGAATGATGGAATATGTCATTATTGTAATAATTCAAAAAATTTAACCACTCACCACACTGTTTGATACATTTCACATATGCATGTAAAATTCCCTAAAATAAATTTCTATATTACAAACATGCACTAATAAAAAGATTTTTTTTAAAAAGGTAATCACTGTTATATTTCAAAGAATCTTTCAAAATTTCTATTCTCTTTTCAAATGAGTCTTGAAAAAGTCTCTTCATGCCTTTATCTCTGGATGTAAGCATCATGATTCTGCAGGTAAGTAAGTTGTTGCAACTATATTATTATGTAAATAGAAGTTTATGGTGCCATTACTTCCCACTAATCTTGAAAGTAGGTATGTGTGAATGGTTGTCTGTGGAATAGAGTTTAAGCTAGAGAATCCTTTTCAGTGACCAGAGGAGCTAAGTAAGTAAAAATATAGCAAAAACAATTTAAAAAGATATAAATAGAAAGATATGCCGCGGCCACAAAATGATAATCATAATATCCTAAACATGCCAGTTCTTCCCAAAGTTCACAGGTAAATCTAACATAATGCTGTTCAACACTCAGGTTAAAATTAACCATTTGTATTTCACATGCAGAGGCAAGAGAACTGGAGTAGTCAAAATGTGAAAAGAAAAATTCATCTGATTTGAAGATTTAAATTAAAGCTACTATTACAATAGTGTGGTGCTGGTGAAACAGTAAACACATAGACAAACAGCATTGAATACAGTGTTCAAAACTAGACACAATGGTCAAAATGTTTTGATAAAAATATAAAAGCAACGAAAGAGAGAACAGTAATCCTTCATCAAATTGTAATGGACATGTTTTGAAATTTTGTTTTAGTTTTTTTCTTATTTTCTCTCCTTGAAATAAAATGAATTTGAAAAAAATTGTAATGGAATGATTAGATATCCATATGATAGAAAAAATAAAAAGCAACCCCCCACCTAAACTCCTAAACTCTGTCCCTACACAGACACCTAAACTCTGTCCCTACACAAAGACACCTAAACTCTGTCCCTAGATAAAGACTTAAATATAAACCCAGATCCCTAAAATTGGAAGAGAAAGTATAACAGACTATTTTTGTACTCTTAGATTAGACAAAGCTTTCTCAGGCGTGATACTAAGAGCATTATACATAAAAGTGGTAAATAAGGCTTCATCTAAATTAAAAACTTCTTCAACATGCAGTTAAAACAATTGAAAGAGAAAATCAATTCTCTGACTAAAATAGGCAAAAATTTGAATTATACTTAACCAAAGAAATACAGTAGTGACAAATGAGTACATAAAGGAATGCAAATTAAAACTTCAAGGAACTATCATCACATATGAGAAGAAAAAAAAAGAATCGTACAAAGTACCAGTGAGAATGTGGAGAAACTACAATTCTCAGATGCCACTCCTAAGAATACAAAGTGGTACATTTACAATTTTTACTTAAAAACTCTTTATTATAGACCAAAGTTAGTTTTCTCATAAAGCTGAATATGTGTAACATGCACTTTGGTCAGTGGTGACTGCATATACACTGGTAGCTCCTTAAATTTATATCATACAATGTGTTCCTTCATTCACTAACACAGCACTGTAGGTATGATATGACCCAGCAAGCCTATTCCTACCCAATAGAAATAAGATATGTTCACACAAAACCCTGTGGAAGTTGTTTAGAGCAACTTTACTCATAAATATCAAGTACTAGAAGTAACTCAAATGCTTTACACTGGTGAATAGCTTAATAAAGCTGTGTTATATCTATTCAAAGGAATATTAGTCAGCAATAAAAATGAACTGCAGATATTCATCATTGAGTAGATGAATCTCAAGTGAATTAAGTCAAATAAGTCTGCCTGAAAAGGCAATATTCTGCATGATTCCATTCATGTGATACTCTGGGAAATGAAAATTATAGGGCTAGGAAACAGACCAGT